AGTGAAACAGCACTTGGGACCTGTCAGGGACATCTGTGGGTTTTGTACTTCAGTCCATGTTAATGTCTGAATTAGAGCCTTTAAATAATAAAAAAAAAATTATCCTGCAATAATTTAATCATTATTTTTGAGGTCTTCATGGTTGCCTGAGGTTTTACAACTTTTACAGTGTGTGTTAGAGCACCCAGCTCTAAAACTGAAGGGACTTGAGCCCGTGGCTGCAGCAGCCACTGCTCTGTGGGTATTTGCAATTCCAGAGTGGGAATTACTAAACTGTACAGACCCTCCTTAAACCTGAGCCTTGGGTCAGGTCTGAACCTGAGCTGGGCTGATGTAAAAGCCAGGCAGCATCTGTGGCATGACCTGAATGCAAACTGGATCAGGGTGTGTGAGCTGACACCGAGCTTCCAAATTTAAGTGTCAGAACAAAAAAATGTGCATAAAAATGATGGCATTATAGCCTAAAATATTCCATCTATATTTAACCTATAGCCACAGTCTGGGAGCCTGCAGGAAGGGCACAGCCTGCCTATGGATTTCCATTGAGGAAAAACAAGGGCTTTGCACAGGATCTTTCAAGTTTTAATTTTTTGTGGGTTTTATTTTGTTTGATTTTTTTTGTTGGTTTTGTTTGCTTTTGTTTTTTAATTATTTGATGTTTAACGTAAATTGTTTTTAATAAAGTAAATTCTCATAGAGCAGGTCAGGCTGTGGGTGTTAAATGTGGCACGGGGGTTGGGTGCTGCTGTCCAGGATTGGGATTTCAGAGCTGGGCTCCTCAGGCTGTTGCAAAAACCTGCATCTTCTGTTTCCTGATCTCTCGAGGAGGATGAAGTTGTTAACGAGCTGATTTTGCCGCAGGGAAGGTCTGGAATTCCAGGCAGAGTGGAGCCGATTTGGGAGCAGTGAATGTGCCCTTTGTGTCCCAGCAGGATGTTCCCAGGCTCCCTCTCCAGACGTGGCTGTGACGTTGGGAGAGAGCAGCAATGAAAGTCAAATATTGATTTTAAATCGCTTTTCTTTGCTCCTTGAAAATCTTTTCTTTCTCCTAGCCAGTTCTATGTTAAGGAGTTGCTGTTAAGGCAAAATTGAGTTGTCCAGCTCAGTTGCAGCTATTTTCTGGAGTAGTTGATTATTTGGGAATTAATTTGGCTGCTTGTAAACAGGAGTGTGCCTGATAGGCAGCTCAGTGCTTGGGCTGGCCTGCCTTCCTGGGAACACCTTTTTGCTTTCCAAGGGAAAGATTTTCAATAATATACCCGTGCCTTCCTGTAATTCCAGGCAGTTTGAGGTAAAATAGGCTCATCCCTGGAGTCACTGTTCCAAATTGTCAGTGCTGCTCAGGTGCAGGGTGCACAGGGCTCTGATCCTCGTGGAGCTCAGCAAAACATTGTCCTGAGATTTTGACTCCTCATCCACGGCAGGAATTGGCTGTTTGGAGAGCTGGATCAGAGGATTTCCTGCAGCTCCTGCCAGCCTGCAGCACTTTGCTCTGGAGCACTGTTGGCTCGGGCTCCCTGCTTTGGTGTCCCCTCCTCTGCCTCCAAGGGCTGCTCTGACCTCCTCTCCTTTCTCCCCAGGACCTGAAGAAAGCAGGGCTGCTGATCTTTGCTAACAAGCAGGATGTGAAGGAGTGCATGACAGTAGCTGAGATCTCCCAGTTCCTGAAGCTGACTTCAATTAAGGATCACCAGTGGCACATTCAGGCCTGCTGTGCTCTCACTGGAGAGGGGTAAGAGGGATTTGTGCCCATGGGATGGGAGTCTGGAATTACTCTGGCGGGCTGTACTGTGGTATTTGGGTTTAACACACATTCCTCCCCTGTCCAGAATCCCAGAATCCCAGAATGGTTTGGGTTGGAAAGGACCTTAAAATCATCCCATCCCACCCATGCCATGGCTGGGACACTGCCAGGGATCCAGGGGCAGCCACAGCTTCCCTGGGAAACCTGTGCCAGGGCATCACAGCTTCATAATCCTGATCCTTACAAGATTTGTGGGCTCAGAGCACCAAATCTACATCAAACCCACAGTGTCAACTCACAGAGATAAGACTTGATATGATTTGGGCTTAAAGAGGGTGGGATGAGGTGGGGCCCCACTGAAATGTGGTTTATTAAGAATGATCCTAATTAGGGAGAAGTTCATGTCCTGAAGATCTGGGATCTGAATTCTCTGGCCATGGATGATATAATAAGATCTAGGAAGTGCCATGCAGGGAGTGAAGAGTTTCCAGAAATGATTCAGAGTTCTTGGGAAGAGTTTAAATTGATGCTGTGGAGTTACCTTTGGGGTTATCCTGAGAATTCCCTAAATGTTGTCTCCTGTGTCCCCAGGCTGTGCCAAGGACTGGAATGGATGATGTCCCGGCTGAAGATCAGATGATTTTTAATGACCTCTTTGCACAGACATTGCTGCAGCAGAGCTGTTCCAGTGGCAGATTGGTGGGGTGGATGTATTTATACTGAACTGATGGCAACTGTATTTTCTACATAGCTGCACACACACACACACACACACACACACAGGGACAGGAGCTGGGAGCAGGCACAGGAGCACAGGAGCTCCAGGTTGGTTCGGGCTCCTCGGAGGACGTGCTCAGAGCTGTGACCAACCTTCTTTTCAAGCTGCCCCTCGGAACAGCCCGGCCTCAGGCGTGGGGAGGATGGAGCGAGAGGAAGGAGCTTTGATTCAGAGTTCCATTATCCCACTGCAGCCCTCTCCAGTGGAAGGTGCTGGCTGCATTATCCCAGTACATCAGCGAGCGAATCACGCCGTAGGTATCGACTCTCCAGTATTTCTGAGGCTGCCCATGTTACAAATGCAGAACTCTTTTCCTGTATGTGTACTGTACATATTTGTGTATATTTATACCTCAATCCTAGGTTAATTGCAATCTGCTCAGCCCAGTGTAAAGCTGAATCAGTCTGTTGGCAGTAGTGCTGATCTGTGGCACGGCCATGTCGCTCCGTGTCCGTACGGCTGTAACTCAATCACACCTTGGCTCTCCACAACCTGATCAACAAACTCTCTCTTCAGCCCGTTGCTTGGTTTTCCACATGGTTTTTGGAATAGGGAGGAGGCTGGAATGGATTGAGGCACATGGATTGAGCTTCGAATTCCAGGGTTGGCAAACAGAACAAATTTTCCAGAGAGTTTCAGATGGAATGGGTTTTCCTCTTTTATTGTGGTGATCATTGGATTGGGTGATGCTGCAGGTCCTGTCCACTGCTTTCCTTCTCTGCTCTGCTGGTTGATTCAGGTCTGGCAGAAATACCCTTGGCTGTCAAAAAGGGAAAGGTATCTTTTTTTTCTTAACCAAAGAAGAGGCACACAAGTATGTTTGAAAGTGTCACTGGAATCGTACAAGGCAGACTCTAATGAAGTGTTTTTCAGAGGAAAAACTCTCTTTGCTCCATAAAATGTGCAGATACTAAAATGTGCAGATGTACCAATATGCAGTGGAGGGGACTGGATGGGGACAAAGCAGATGACACTACTTGAAAAGCTCCAAGTGACCCACACGAGTTCCAGGGCAGATCTTGAAAGCAGAACTCCCTTGCATGCTCCCCAGGCAGTGTGAGAACACTAGGATCACCTTTCCCTGCTGCAGCTCCTGCTGGGATGGCTGTCCCAGGCAGAAGGGGGTCAGAATTCCCACTTCAGAGGATCCAGGCAGTTGGGAAGGCAGTGGGATGGTTGGAAATGCCAGGCTCTTCTGTGGGAGATGCATTGGGAGTTCAGCAAAATGAAACTAAACTGTGTTTAAAATGTTCTTCCCTTTCTCAGCCCCCGTGTCTGGTAAGGATGGAAAAGGCATTTTAAAGACATTTAAAGCTTAGTTTGAACTTTTTAAGGTGCTTCTCTTTGGTTCTGGGATAATCTGGTCAGCTCCTGCCTTGCTGCCCACCTGCCTCCCTGGGAGCATGGGAATCCTGGGGAAAGGAGGGGAGGCAATCTCTAAGTCTGTATTTAACAAAGGCAGGTAAAGAATTTAACTTTTTAATCTATTTTTGGTATCTCCAACACTCCCTGGCTGGGGGATCTGCTGTCTTTGTTAAACATTAAGGTGTACATGCATATATCTCTAGTGCATGCACATAGATCTTGGTATTTAACTGGTGTATTGCAAAATGTATCAATGTTTGAAGAATTAACAATTTAATGCAAAGACTCTCTCAGTTTCTCTGACAGTATCTACAAGCAACGAGCTCTGTGCACACTTGCATATGAAATGGAATTGTACATTTTCTAGTCTAAAAAAAGAAAAAGCAGACTTGCTTCTAAACCCAAGTGTTTGGTTTTTGAGTCTTATGTCCTCCCTGGGCTGAATCCACACAGGCTGGGTGAGCTGGGGGCTGGCTGGTGAGAAAAGGAGCTGTTTTTGGTGGTGGTGGAGCAGCCTCGGGGTTTCTGCTGCTTGCTTGTGCCTTGCAGGGACTCTGTCAGCTGTGCAGGTGTGCTGGTTGCTGCAGGTGTGGGCAGATACTCTGTGTTTACACATCACTTGGGGTGGTTTTGCTCTTTCCCTCCCCCTGCCACTTCCCTTGCTGTGGCCTCTGAGGTTCACCTTGTCTTGGTTTCCCCAGTGGCCACAGAGCCCAGCAGGGCCTGGGAGTGACTGCTCACCTCAGGGCTGGCTGTGACACAGGCTTTTCTGTGCCCTGAGGGGCTTAGGGTGCCAGCATCCAATTGTTCTCTGTGTGCTGGTCAGTGCACAGCCCTGACTGCAAACACCTCATGGGTCACTGTGAGCTTTCTGTGTGGTTTGTGTTTTTCAGGGCAAATGCAGCCAGGATTCAGTGGTGGCTGATGTTTGCTGACACACTATGGTGCTGTCCAGGGCTTTGGGGGTTTAAATCAGGGGGATGGTGGGGTCTGACAGCAGAGGTGACAATTCCAGACTCACCTGGAATGGTTGCTGTGATCTATCCCAGACTCACCTGGAGTGGTTGCTGTGATCAGTTCCAGACTCTGTGATCAATTCCAGACTCACTGCAATGGTTGCTATGATCAATTCCAGACTCTGTGATCATTTCCAGGCTCTCACCTGGAATATTTGCTGTGATGGTGCTTTGAAGTGCACGTGTGTGAGCTCAGAAATGTTTTAAATTTAATCACTGAGAAGAGCAGCCAATCTTTTGATCTCTGGACCCCTTTGTGTTCTGTGTACGTGCTCCTTGTTGACAGCTTTTTTTCTTTTCCCTGTAGGGGAATTCCCATTTTTCTCCCAGCTCTGTCCATAGGAAATCCAGGGATTTCCACTGGGCTGGGCAGGGGTTGCCTCCCCCTGAGAGTGACCTTGGTGTGTGCTGATGTTTCAGCCTTGGGGTTCTGCTGCCTTGGCTTCCAGCTGAAGCTCAAGCTTTGCCTTTGTTCTCCATGAAATTCATTCTTAGCAAAAGGGAGGGGCCTTAGAAATGGGTATTGAAGTAATGCTGCAAAATGGCATTTCAGTAGCAAAAAAAAAAAAAAAAAGGTCATATTTCAGTAATCTGATGCTTCAAATGTTTCTTTTGGTTGAGAAGATCATCAGTTGGGTAAATCATCTCTGGAATATGCTGCTTGTGGCATCTGGGAATTATACAGGTCTTTAATTGTGAGGAGAGGTGGAAAATAAACTTGGGCAATGTGAACAGCTTCAGTTTTTAATATCCTTTCTTTCTGGGAGGCTGAGCACTGTGTAGGTGTGTGAGTGGTAAATGCACCTGACCAGCACCTTCCACACCTCTGCAGCTCAAGTGCCTAAAACTAACTCCATAATCAGCTTTATTTCCCATTCCCTTAGAACAGAGATACATATGTATAAAAGCCTCCCAGTGTGTGGAAATGAGTGGGTTTTCTCCTCCCCACACCCAAGTTTTAACAGGATTTGTGATAAATTTGTTACAGTTCTCCTGTCCCTGCCATTCCAAGCACTTTGCCATTTATCAGGCATCCCTGAGTTTGGGACGGGAAATACTGAATTTGTCCTTGTGTCGGGGTGGTTGGCTGGAATTCCTGTCGAGGGATTGTTTAAATAACTCCATCCAGGAATCCTTGGCCTTGGGAAGCTCCTGGTGGCAGTGCTTCCTTCCATGCTGTCACTGTCGGATTAATTAGGGCTGAAAAGTCGTTTTCAGCTAATTGAGATGAATGTGCTGAGCAGCCCTGGGCTGATCCCGTGGCACCAGGAGTGGCACTGAGGAAGGAAAATGTCTTTGCACTTGTGTGATAATCCAGATGTGGCCTGGTTATAAATCCAGATGTGGATATATTGTGGTGAATACATTAAATGGCCAAAAATGATGAATTATGAGGGGCTGTCACTGTAGCTTTTTATTTCACGTGTGAGAATCATGAGCAGTTCTCTCCTTGCCTTAAGAGGGCCTTACCAGTGAGTTTTTCTATTGTAGCTTTATCCACAGTGGAGTCACTTTACTACCCTGAGCCTTCTAAGCCAGACTTTGGGTAAGGACAGAGCTGGGTGGGCTTTTTAAGCTTTTCCTATTCGTAAATGTACGAAACTCAGCTGAGACTGGATGAAGCCAGAAAATGCTGCTTTACCTGGGAGGCTGGGAGTCCTTCCTTGGACATCTTCAGCTCAGTGCTGTCCTTGTCTAAGTGGGGAGGTTAACAAACAAAACCAGCTCAGACTGGGGGACTGTAGGTGTGGGATGGGGACAGCCCCGCTGTCACTGTGCCCATGTCGAGTGTCCCTGCATGTTTTCCATCCAGGTTTTCTGCTCAGCCCCGGTGTCACTGTGCCCATGTCGAGTGTCCCTGCACGTTTCAGCACCCTCGGTTTTCTGCTCCAGCCCTCGGCCCGGCTCTCCGGAGCTGCCCCAGGGCTCAGGGCTGGGTTGGCAGGTTTGTACCCTGCGATGCTTGATTTAACACCGGCTCCAGGCAGGTGCTGTGTCCTGGCTGTTTGCAGAGGGGAGGAACCCGAGTGTGTCCGCAGCAGGGTCGCCTTTCCTTTGATCTTTTTTGTACTTTGTACTCCTCTCCCTCCACACTTTGTCATCTTCCCGAAGGAAACGCAGCCGGGACGTGGCTAACGCTGAGAGTGCAGGAACATTTCATTTCAGAATGTGTAAAATGATGGCTCCAGGTTAATGCCAAGCCTTGGGAGGGCTGGCAGCTCCCAGCTGGAGCAGCCCCGTGTCTGCACTCACACGTGGGTACTAAAGTCATTTAGCCCAAACATTTTATAGAGCTATTTATTATAGTAAAGGAAAACCAGGATTCTGTTAGCAACTTTTTTTTTCCCCCCTGAAATTTGATCAGAGCATTCCTTGAATTGTTTCCCCTTTGCCACTTTCTGTTTTTCAGACTCTGGTTTTTGCGCAGCTGAAGGGAACTCATTCCGTTCTCTTAATTCTTGTTGAGGTGGAACAAATACAAATTTGGGCTGGGGAGCTCTGTACCATCATACCTATGCATTTGTAGATGATGTCAATTGCTAATTCTTTAAAACCTACCAGTATTTATGATTTTAAGTTGAAAACACTTGTAAAAATGTGCCTGTTTGCTTTAAACTGTGCATGTGGGAGTTGCAGTGAAAGTTTTCAAGCAAATATGTGATTTCTCATCTGGTTTTGGAGGTGGTTTTGGGGTGAAATGTGCTGTTCTGCCCACCCTGTGAAGACATGGGGGGTTCTTTGGTGCAAGTTTGGTGATAAGTCTGTGCTGGCTGATGTCAAGAATGGGAATTAAAATGAGTGTGAAATGTTTTTCTGTCAGAAATGCTGAATCCCAGGGATGTGCCCCTCTTCCATACCCACATATCCCACACAGGTACCTGTGCATGATGTGGGCTGCAGGAAACTCCTTAAAAAGCAAAAGGGATGGAGCCAAAGCTGAGTTAGGAGATCAAATTCCCAGTTTTGTGTTTGTGGGCTGGATGTGGCACTCAGTGCTCGGGGCTGGGTGCCAAGGTGGGGTCGGGCACAGGTTGGACTTGGTGGCCTTGGAGGGCTTTTCCAGCCTTGGTGATCCTGGGATTGTGTAAAGGGTTGGGTAAAGGGTGTTCCTGCCCAGCTCTGCAGCCCCACCTGCCCCTTTGGGGCTCCTTGGGTCCCTTCCAGCTGCATCCATGGGGTGATCCCATGGAATGCCCTCCTTGGGTCCCTTCCAGCTGCATCCATGGGCTGATCCCATGGAATGACCTCCTTGGGTCCCTTCCATCTTCATTAATGGGGTGATCCCATGGAATGCCCTCCTTGGGTCCTTTCCAGCTGCATCCATGGGGTGATCCCATGGAATGACCTCCTTGGGTCCCTTCCAGCTGCATCCATGGGCTGATCCCATGGAAAAACCTCCTTGGATCTTTTCCAGCTGCATCCATGGGCTGATCCCATGCATGCCCTCCCTGTAAATGACGCCCAGAGACGGAGTTCTGGGGAATCAGGAATTGCAGCAAGCCCCCTGTTGGGATGGTGTAGGAGAAGCCGAAATGCCTTTGCACATTCCTTATCCTCCCACCTCTGCTTTTAGCCGTGCTGGCTGGAGCTGTTTCCTGTGGGACACGCTCTCCCAGCAGGGTGGGCTCTGCCTGCAGCTCCTCCCTGGCGCTGCTCTGCCTGCCCGGAGAGGCTGGGGCTGCCCTGCATCCCTGGCAGTGCCCCAGGCCAGGCTGGACACTGGGGCTGGGAGCAGCCTGGGACAGTGGGAGGTGTCCCTGCCCATGGCAGGGAGTTGGAATTAAATGATCTTTAAGGTCCCTTCCAACCCAAACCAGTCTGGGATTCCGTGGTTCTCCTGGGACGTTTTTGTGGCGGGTGAAGGAATGCTGAGCTGCCTTAAAGCCAGGTCTTTTCCTGCCTGTCCCTCTTAACTCCATTATTCCTTGACTTTGATATAACTTCTGAAAACTGCTTTTAGTTTTCCTTGGAATCCAGTTAAATATTAGGTGATTAAAAGAGAAGCCACCGTTCTCACACTTTATTTTTGTCTGGTTTAGCCCAGCTGTGCATTCCTTAGGCCTTTGTGCCTGGTGAATGGAACTGTGAGTAGGCTTTTGAACAGAAACTGTTACTTTTTGGCTCTTTTTCTTAAGTGTATAAAAGTTAAGACTGCTGACTTCTCCTTCATTGTTGTTATTTTTTTTTTAATAATACATTTTTAATTAATTTAATAATTAATACTTTCTTGATGCTATTACCACTTTTTAAATTGCAGGTTGTGTCGCTCCTCTCTTGTTGCACAGTCTGTACTGAGTTATTCTGAATGTTTTTATTGTAATATGGGGATGAAATACATGTACAGAATAGTCAACAGTATTGACAATAAATACAGTTAATTCTTGTCATTAATGTTTCAGTTCTGATGGGTTTTACCTTCATTCTTCAGAACTGGAAGGGTTTTATTCTGTTTCAAATACATATATGTGTGTATATATATGTAGGAAAATCATGGGGTCATGTAAAAGCGGTCATGCAAATTTCCTTGGGAACAATGAAAATGGTCTAAATTTTTGTACAGAAATAAATATTTAGTGTAAACATTGAAGAGTTCTGAGGGAGGGCCTCGTGCTGTGGGATCCTCATGGATGTTGTGTCATTTTTGTGTGTTTGGCTTTGAAACCTGGGTTAATGGGGGGAAATCAAGCTACAAATAAACCAAACTGTCTGTGTGGAGCTGGCCAGGGAATTTCTTGGAGATCCACCGTGCCTGGGATGCCAAAGGTGCTGCAGTGAACAGCTTTAGGTGATGAATGGAGGAAAGTCCTGAATATTCCTTAATGTGCAAATCTTCCTGAGAAATCCCAATGTTTGAATTGTCCTACAGGGATGGGCACTCCACAGCTGCCCTGGGCAGCCCTGCCAGGGCTGCACAACCCTTTCCAGGATGAAATTTTCCCTAATATCCAGTTTAACCGTCCCCTGGCACAGCTTGAGGCTCTTCCCTCTCGTCCCTTGTTCCCTGGGAGCAGGTCCTGAGCCCACCTGGCTGCACCCTCCTTTCAGGTAAGTTGGAGATGAAATAAGAACCTCCCTGAGCTGCCTTTTCTCCAGGATAAAATCCTGGAGTGCTGACAGAGTTCACTGTGGACTGTTCCCTGGGGAGGACAGGGACGGGCAGAACAGCCCCTCTTTGCCATCCTGTGGGCAAGGGCAGCCTGAAGCCAGGCACAATTTTCCCACCACGTGTTGAGACCGTTCATTCCTGATGTTTCCAAGAGAACACTGGGATAATGCACAAACTGTACATATTGGTAAGTTAGGTCTCTTTTAACTGAGATAAGGTGGGAAAATCCCATTCTTGCAGGGTTTTCCTGCTGGGAGCAGCAGCAGCACTGTTCCCTGCTGAGCCCAGTGGAGGAATGACAGGCTGGAGCAGCAAGAGGGGGAAAAGGCTTGGAGGATATCTGAGCTTCAGTTGCTTGGAGATTTAAAATGGAACTTTATTTCTGCTTCTCTGAAAGCAAGAGGCCCCTCAGGATTTTGGCCATTGGGTTTTTCCTCCCCTTTGCTCCTCACAGCTCCGAGGCTGGGTCATTTAGGCAGAAGGTGTCTCTGCCTGGCAGTGGCAGGGATTGAGGGAGGCAAAGGGAATGAAACCATCACGGTTGTGTTTCCTGGTGGTGGGCACAGCTCTGCTGGGGCACTGTGCTCCCTTGCCATGCCCTGGCAGATGGCAGGGGGGATATTCCCAGGACACAGCACAGTGGGATCCACGTGCATCCCAAACAAGCAATAGGACTGGAGCTGCTGCAGGTGGGTTCTAATGATCCCCAATTCCCTGCCATGCCCCCTGCACCCAGAGCTGGAATTACTGTCTGTTTCTGGGCTCAGACACTGCCTGGGGACTCAGTGTTCCCATCCCAGCACTTCCCAGACAGCCTGGGAAGGATTCCTGTGCAGGGCCAGGAGCTGGGTTGGATGGTCCCTGTGAGTCCCTTCCAAAGCAGGATTTGCTTTGGGATTTCTTGCTCCAGCTGTTCCCTTCCAGGGAGGCCAGATGGGGGCAGGATCCTCCTTTTTATAGCAAATACTTCAAATGAAGAGTTTTATTTTGCTTTATCCAAGGCAATGAGATTCTTTAGGCCAGTTCAGCCACCAAAAGAAATCCCCTGCCCCCCTCCTTCCCTGTAGCACCACAATTTTGTGCTGCTTCACTGGGCTCCTGCCATGCCTGGGACAATCTAGCTTTAGTCTTGCCTTAGTCTATCCTGTTTCTGCTTTTTAAAAAATCCTCCTTCAGTAAATTTGACATTTTTGTGTTTTCTGGTATTTCTCCACGGTGAAGGGATGGGTTGTTTTTACACAGATTGTTTTGCTGGCTGTCAACAGCAGGAAAATTTTATCATTGTAGGAACAACTCCATTCAAACCTGAAAATTATTTACTTGATTTGCAGCGTCACAGCCAAAAAAATTCAGTACACAAAAATATTTGTTCCATGTTTGTTGCTGAGAAATCTGTGGATTAACAACACTTCTGCAAGAGTCAGATTGTGTTTTAATCTTTACTGTGCTTTTCAGCAAAGCTGTTCTTGCCAGGGAACCTTCAGCACTGAAAAGGCCCAACGTGGTGTAACCTGTGTTAGAGGAACACTGAATTTTCAGGCTGTGAGGGGAATTACTGCATTAAACCAGCCCACCCTTCAGCAGCCCTGAGGAGCAGACACCGAGGATGTGCTCGAGATGTGCCACAAGACATTCCCACAGGGAAGGTGAGCTGGCTCCTGCCCTGGGAACCGGCGTGTCCGGGAGCATCTCGCTGCTGGCATCCCCGGGGTGATGGATGTGCTGAGGGCTGTGCTGCTTGGGCCACCTCTGCCCCAGCCAGCCAGGGAATTGTGCAGCTGCCTCTGTCCCTCCACTGCCATTATCTCACTTTATAAAAAGCCCCATGAAGTCATCAGGAGTTCAGCGTCCCGTGGAATGGCTTGCAAAGAGCTGAAAGTCTGCCAGACTCTTGGAAATGAAAACTATTTAATGAATACAGGTTTCTTCCCCCTTGACCCCTCCTTGCAGAGAAAAAGTGCATTAAGAAGCCTGGATCTTTTTGGACAGATGGGGGAGACCCAGGTGAGCAGCTCTGGGTGTGGCACTGGGGAGTTGGGGGGCACCTCCAACCTTTCTGCTGTGGGGGTGAGGGCAGGAGCACAGCTTCCCTTAGCCCAGGTCTGGAGTTAACCCCAGAGCCACGGAGTCACAGAATGGTTCACAGGGACCTAGAGATAGCCAGTTTCAACATCCACAGGCAAGGACAGCTTCCACTGTCCCAGACTGCTCCAGCCTGGCCTTGGACACTCTCAGGATCCAGGGACAGCCACAGCTTCTCTGGGCACCCTGTACCAGGGCCTGCCCACCCTCCCAGCCAGGAATTCCCAGTTCCCAATGTCCCACCCATCCCTGCCCTCTGGCACTGGGAGCCATTCCCTGGCTCCTGTCCCTCCATCCTTGTCCCCAGTCCCTCTGCAGCTCTCCTGGAGCCCCTGCAGGCCCTGCCAGGGGCTCTGAGCTCTGCCTGGAGCCTTCCCTTCTCCAGGGGAGCATTCCCAGCTCTCCCAGCCTGGCTCCAGCTGTCCTGCTGTGAGTTATTCAGGTGAGGTCCCCACTCATGTCACTGCTGGGATGTCAGTGGGGTCAGTTCAGTTTGCAGAAGCTTTTGCTGGCTCAGGAGCTGCTGCAGGTGATCCCACTGAGGAGATGTCCCAAGGAGAGCATGGTCCAGTGCCCAGTGGATGAGGGGAGGAAATTTGTGATGTTATCGTTCCTTAATGTGGTTAAATGTCCCTTTATTGGTGCAGTAACAAAGTTATATTTTCTGGGGTTTATTGTCTGCAGCCGTTGCAGAGCAGTGGGAGCCCAGCAGATTCCTTGTGGCTGCTCAGTGCTGTTAATAATAGTGCAGAGAAGAATTGCTCCTGGTGGCTGTTGTGCTGGTGACCTCAGTGCTGTGTTAGTGACCTTTCACAGAGCATTCTGCCCCTGGGAACTGCTGCTGCAGAGTATTCCTGGCCACGGCCAGCCAGCAGTCTTAATATTTTATGGACTACTGCAGGTTGTATTTCAGGCTATGAGACACCACCCCAGCAATGCCAGTCAGGAATGTGAAGCACGTTGCCTTTTCCCCCCTCGTTTTACAGTCAGAGGTGTTTGAACCTTTCATATAAAAGTGTTACTTTTAAATCAGCAGAGTGAGAGAGAATATTTTAAAAATAAGTCCCAGACATGGGCAGCAGTTTGCTAAAAGCTGTGACGTTGGACATGTGAGCTCTGGTTCAGCATCCCTCAGAGTGAGGAGACTCAAGGTGCATGGATTGTCTATCAGTGGGAAGATTTGGTTATTCTGGGATTTCTTGACTAGATTAATTGAGCTTTGATCTAAGCCTTGACCTTCTCTGGCAGCAGCTTCTGTGATCTCTGGACAGTTCCTGTCAGAGCCCATGAATTACATGTTTGATTTTCCATGGGCTGTGGGAACTGCTCTGCAGTGTAGGGGAGTCAGAGGGGCTTGGAGGGAGAGGGATCCAGGCAGGGAGGGTCACGAGGCCATTTCACTGCAAACTCCCCAAATGAACCCTGCACCAGCTGGAAAACCCGTGGAATGGGGAAGAGGGTTAGTTACACTTTTCCTTCTTTTGCCCAAGGAGAAAAAAGGTGAGAAGGACTCAGTCACAATTTTACCTCAATCACACCTTTGTGTTCAGAGTTTGTTCCCTCTGGGTGGAAAAAAAGGCATGGAGGCCAAGGGAGTAAATCCTGGATTTCTTCCCTCTGCTCTCACACAGGGCACGAACATCTGTCAGCAGTATCAGGGCAATGGCTGAACTGGAAAAGCAGCAGAGGTGATTGCAGAATGAAGGTGATGCTCTGCTCACAGTTTCAAAGGGAGTGCTCAGCCCTGTCCCTCCACCCAGAGGATTTACAGCAGGAAATGCCTCTGTGTTAATTCACCCCTTTGTTGGTGATGTGGAAAGTTGGCAGGGCTGTAGAACCCCACGTGAAACCTTCTGCTTTGGTAGAAATGTGAAGGCTTATGAAATAATCTGAGTGTGCTCTGGGGTAGAAATGAACCTGGCTTGGGTTATGGTTTCTTCACAAATTGTTTCAACTTGGTTCTGTGAGAAACAACAACTCTGCTCCAAATTCACTGCAAGGAGTTCAGTGAGGAGCTGGGGAAGGAGGCAGGACATGGAAAGCAGCAGGTTTGAAACCTGAGGCTGGCACGTTGTGAGAAAACTGGAACGTGTCCTCATGGCAGCAGCACTCGGGGTGCTGGGGGGGCACAGTCGTGTGCGGGCACCTGAGGGGGAGCACCAAGAAGGAACTTCTTCCAACAAGGAATACTCCAGGAAGGAATTTCCCCCCACCTGGGGAGGGGAAAGCACCATCAGTGCAGCAGATGCAGCAAACCAGGCTGCTCCCAGCCCCATCCAACCTGGCCTTGAGGCCCCTGTGGATGGGACAGTCCCAAACAGATCAATCTCCTTATACAGAAACAGCTCTCTCTGTAGTTCCTGCAATGATTTGCAAAATGGTGCTAATAATGAAAAAGTTTGTCTTTAAAAGATAAAAGAGCTGTGTTATTTTATTGAAGGGCAGTGAGGCAGAGGCTTGTCCAAAGGGACAAGTGTGGGAGGCAGGGTAAGAGCTGAAACTCTGGCTGCCAGTCGGGGCTTTTCACTGGCATTTACAGCTGGTATTTGTACCTCTGTTCTAAAAATATAAAAGTTTATTTGCCTTAGAAACAGCAGGAAGAATAAAAGGTTGGAGAAGAACCTCACCTTCCTTTCCTAGTTTATAGTAACTAATATTAATATTCCAGAACCTGAATATGTTGAGTTGGGTGCTGAATCTCAGCTTCCCTCCGCACCTCCTGCTAGGAAATCTGATCAATACAATCAGAGCTGGCTTTGAGCTCTTGAGGACCTTTGCCTTTGCTGTATCTTCTTTCTGATGAGCACCCATGTCTAAGACCCTGTGGCTGTCTTGGGAACATTAGCAGGGGAGATAAATTAGGCTGTTTGACATCATCTTGTGGATAAATATTTTCTTTTAGGATTCTCAAAGGCCCTAAGTAAAGAACAGGGGAGGCTGTGACAGATGCTGTCATGTGAGGAGAACTCTCCTAGAGCCAATGGCCCCAGTGAATATCTTGTGTCGATGTACAGGATCTTTTACACTCTGATTTTATATCCTCAGTGTTGGGGGTTTAAATATTAACCAAATTTTTAAGTTTCTACAACCAGCTGGACGCGCATTTGTTCATGTCATTTCTCTTTGCTTTATCAAATCTTATCATGAAAAAAGTGAACCAATATTTGGCACCTTGTTCTTTGTCTTTCAAGTTTAGGTTTGTTTGTATTTTTCCCCACTTTGAATTGTCTTTTGATTCAGTCTTTGAAATATTCTTGTGGGACACTTTCAATACAAAAAAGTTGGGCCTATACCCAAACAATTTGATTGGTGAGGCCACAGTTCCTTCTCTGTCCAGGAACGCTGAGAAGCATAAAATGAATTTTGGTTCCATATCACTCATATCAATATGCCTTTATTCCTCCTCTTCCAGCCAAGTATTTTTGAGTCACAGCAGCACAGTGAGCACAGCCGCTACCTGGTGCTGCTGCTCACCCCAGATCAGCCCATGAGGATCAAAAATAAACCTGAAGACAAGACACTGGAGGAGATCCACTCACAGCACCCTGATTCACTGCCCCCAGGAATATTATTTGGTATGATCTAACACTTTCTATTAATACTCTGAGAAAGAGAAGGAGCACCTCTGAAGTAAAAGTGGAATTCTTGTTAGAGCATGTATTCCTTCCTAAAAACCTTTTTGTTTGCAAGGCAAGAGGCAATCCCTGACAAGGCCTGTGCTCCCAGCCTGGTTTCATCCAGGAGAAAAAAGATTGGCCAGCTGTAAAAATGGAGGGGTCGGAGAAATAGATGGATATTTAATTTGGAGACAATCCTTTGCATTTGTCCAACCAAACCTTTAATTTTTATTTATTTTTGGTAAAAATTTTCTCCACAGTATTTCCATACATTGAACCAAAAGGTGCTGGGGCAGAGGAGCCTTGCTGTGGGGCATGGTGAAAAGAATGAGAAGGAACTCACTGGTGGTAGATTAAAAATAAACACGGTGGCACAAATACGTATTTAAATGTCCTTTTTCAATGATACAGTGCTTGTTAAGTCCAGGTATGTCAGCAGGTTAAATATAGCACCTGGGATGTCAGGACATTTATCCATCATGCCCTGAGTGGCTCCTGTTGGATAAGCAGGACTGACTGAACTCAATATTTAAATATGTCAAGTACAAGAAAATATTTTTTTGCTTTAATCTTTGTGATTGAAATGCAAAACAACCTCTTTTTCTGCCTGAGTAGTTTTGCAGCTTGCTGTCTTTAGCTCAGAACTGCTGGGCACGTGCTCATTTATGTGCCATGGATAAATCTGGCCGGTGTGTTAACCTGGGGCAGAGCTGCCAGGCTCCACCTAGGGCAGTTAATGCTTTTGAAATATCTGTCCCCCAGAAAGTCAAGTATTTTCACAGCAAAGTCAAAAGCTGGACTTGATGATCTTGGAGGCCTTTCCCAGCCTTAATGATTCTATGGTTTTGTGAATATTCAGTCAGAAATCACAGTCAGACATAAATTTTCATAACAAAGCAATTTAAAAGAAAAAAGGAATATCAACCATTAGTATTCCCTTTACCTCATATGTGTTTGGAACAGGGAGGTTTGGAGTGCCCATCCCTGGAGGTGTCCCAGGAATTCCTGGAGGGGGCACTCAGGGCTCTGGGCATGGGACAGGGTGGGGATGGGCACAGCTGGGACTCCATGGGCTGGGAGGGATTTTCCAGCCTCAGGGATCCTGGGATTCTCCTTGCCTACACAATGGCCATAGTTTTCTCAGAGCTGCTCCTTGAGATTAGGAGCTGAAGGAGCAAAGCCACAAAACACAGGAATTGAAATATTTTCTCAAGTCACCCAAGAGGCAGCCTCCTCCCCTCTCACGTTCAGCCTAACTTTTCATTTCACCAATAATCCTTTTGTTCTCAGCCCCCTTGTGCAATTTCCATGGGTTACTCCATGCTTTTTTCCAGCCCTGAGCTGTGCTGCTGAAGTTCTGCCACACTAAAGACAGCTGCATTTCAGTGGCAGAAAAAGTGGTGCTGCTGTCCTGCGTGTAATTTCAGCCTTGTTTAGTGTCTTTCTAAACAAGATGCCAAACAGCAGTGTAAGATGGTCTGAAGGTTCCAGTAACACAGGGCTTGCAGAGTACCACTGAGGGAGAAATTCTTTGCAGGAACTTCCAGGATTGAGCTGGAATGACAACAATGAATTACATGTTCAATGAGGAAAGCTGGCCCTTCATTAAGGTTTGTTATTGATGATGAAGTTGTCACGTTTGGCATCCAATCTATTGAGAAGCAGCTCTTGGGAGGAAAAGGGGCCTGTGAGTTATTTCTGGAGTGCACACAAGGAGGAGCAGGAGCAGAGAGCAGCAGGTTACATTGAGGTTGCTCTCCAGAGACTCCAACAACACGCTGTGCTAATTTCTAGACAATTTCAAAAGAGGTTAAGTTAAATAAACAGAAATCAGATTAAAAGGGGAAGGACTGCCTAGTATAATGAATTACATGTTCAATGAAGAAAGCTGGCCCTTCACTCCATTAAGGTTTGTTATTGATGATGAAGTTGTCACGTTTGGCATCCAATCTATTGAGAAGCAGCTCTTGGGAGGAAAAGGGGCCTGTGAGTTATTTCTGGAGTGCACACAAGGAGGAGCAGGAGCAGAGAGCAGCAGGTTACATTGAGGTTGCTCTCCAGAGACTCCAACAACACGCTGTGCTAATTTCTAGACAATTTCAAAAGAGGTTAAGTTAAATAAACAGAAATCAGATTAAAAGGGGAAGGACTGCCTAGTAAAGCAAAATGCAGAGTAATTGAAAATAGCTTGGCCAAAGGAGACAGGGAGAGGTCTGCAGATCTGGGCAGAGTCTAAAATACTTGGCAGAAGTGAATGAGATATGATATTTCATCTGGATATAAATATGAACTTCTGGAAAGAGTTAAAGAAAAAGATGTCTCTCAAGGGCTCCTGACAATCATTTATTGAATTATGTGATCTAGCACATGGAAAGGAATCATTGTTGATATTGGCTTTTGAATGCACCTCCTTGAAGAACCAAAGTCAACTCTGTCAGCAGAGTCATCCCCAAAGAAGTCACGTCTGTTATCATCACCCTGGTTCTGCTCCGTACATCACGGCATTCCTGACCTTCCAAAACACCAGGGTTGCTCCCCTGTCACTTAATCTGTTTATCAACTCCTCTTGGACTTCCTTCACCAGGGATGCTGGCTCTTTGTTGGGTTCCTTCCCTGCAAGCAGTTGCTTTTCACATGTTCCTGGGTCTGCGTGTTCAGCTATGAAACTTTTCATAAGTGTGAAAATACTGACACACCTTGCATCAAGGTGAAAAAGCTCTTCAGGTGTACTTACAGGGTGAAATTAAAGACTTATTTATACTAAAATTTAGTTTGCAGTGTGGACTCCTCAAGTTCAGAGCTTCTTGAATTTGCGTGGTGTTTATTCAGGCACATCATAGGAATGAAATTGCCTCCATCAACTGAAATTCAGTGTTATTACCAATTCTGCTAATTATGTTTATTCCATTGGAGCACCCCCTTGGTTTTGCCTGGGGCTCCATCCCACCGAGCCCTGGTGAGCTCCAGCGCAGCTCTGGTGTGTTCTGGGTTCCCTGAGGAGCACGGAGGTGCCCAGCTCCCTCTCCCTGATGCTGCTGAGAACAGGTGCCCTCCCTCGGGGTCACCAAGTATATTTAGGGCTGAAACTCGAGCGGGCTGGAGCCAGATTGGCTGCGTGGGCCACACACGTCACCCAGAGCCACCAAAGCCCCTCGCTCTCACCCAGTGCTGCTCAGGAGGGAAGACTGGAGAGCCTTTGCTCCAAAGGATATTTACTGGATGTCGCTGGTAAGGACATTTTAAATGCAATTCACTTCTTTTCCTTACAAGAGGATCTTGAGCTGTTTTGCCACTCTGTAGTTTTTTGGGAATGCTTGTTGTTCTTTGCCCATGGAAGTCAGTTTTTCTGTCTGAATAACTGGCTGTGGGCTGGAGGAGGAGGAAAAGACCTGGAATGGGGTTTGGAAGTGTGGCTGAAGGTTGTAACAGTGACAGGTTGGAGAAGTTGTGTTTATAAGCAAATCCCACCTCTTGAGTTTACTCAGCCAGCTCTGCCTACTGCTTCATGTGACTTGTCCCTCGTTATCTGAGCTATTCTTAATTTATTTTAATAGAATACAACCTGGTTTTCCCAATTAATTTTTTGGCCATTTTTCTCAGCCTGTTGGGACTAAAAAGGGCCAGTATTCCGTGTTCCTATATTTAACCTGCATGACTTGACTTCCCTTGCCTCAGAAGGAATTGCAGTTTAGCCAGCTCAACCCAAGTGCCCCATCAGTTGGCAGGATTAGTTTACACGGCAAATATCCCTGGACTCAGGAGCAGCTGTTCCAAAGCCTCATCCCCTCCCAACATTAGAAACAGGGCTGCAGACTCTGGTGGAAAATTGTAGCTTTGCCTCACAGCAAAATCAGTGTGTTAATTAATTAGTTCAAAGGGTCTGACACTAATCTGTGCTTTGTACTTCAGCCAACTCTATGGATTTTCATCTTTTCCAGGTCTGAAGAAACAGAGAGAAAAAGCCCACAAGAGCTTAAAAAAAAACAACCCCCGAGCATCTCTGTAGGCTGATGCTGGGAAGACAGAAATTGCCTCATTAACCTAAGGTCACTTAAAAAAAAATTTAAAATACTTTTCTACATTATGCTCTTTCTTATGAATGAATGTAGTAGAATATAAATCTCCCACTCAAACAGGAGCTTGAATGATATAATGAAATAGTACAGTCACAGAGTAAAGAAAAATGCTTCAAATAATTCTGTGGTAATGAAAATATCACATCATGTTTCATGAGATCTCTTCTTTATCTCTTTTATTTTATTTTCATTTGATCCAGAGTTGGTGCTATAACTGGAATGAGGTATTTGTCCAGAATTGTAATTTATATCAGTATGTTTGACACTCAATCCAGTATTTTTCCATAACAGTCCAAGTAATGCCATATCCCAACTTTATTTAGGGTCTGACTAGTCACTAACCATGACCCCAAATACTTTATGAGCTTTATGAGCTTGACTTCTCACGGTACTTTCAGTCATGGGCTAATACTGTTTATTCACATTTTCACCTGCTGTGACCAGTGAGTGGGGGAGAGACAGAAGCAAACCCTCAGAATGGAGGAAGAAGAATATGAGGAAGTTGTGGAGGTAAGAAGAAAATGTGAGAGTAGAAATGTTTGTTTCCTGCCTTGTGACTGAATACATTAATCACCTTACTGAGATGCTGCTCAGGAGCAGAAGTTGATGTTTGCTCTCAGAAGATTAGAGATGATTAGGTATCTATTAAATGGTTTCATCACTAGAACAACAACAACAACAACAGTTGCTGTCGGAGGAGCAAAGTCTCCTGGTTCCTGTCATAGTTTCTCAGTTTAAACAAGGACTGGAACCATCCCACACTCACAGTGCGAGGTTTTCTGATTACTCCCTGCGTAATTATAGATGCACTGGGCCAGCGCTTTTCCCTGCTGGCTTGCCCTCTGTCACCCAATCCATGCTGGAGAAGATGGCTTTGGAAGCCCCTTTCTAGCCCTGCCTCTGCAGAAATGCAGCAGCTTTGTGCCACCAGGGGACCACAAACCAATTTAGCCTGAGCCATCGCAGAGATGGAGCCAGGCTTAAGTGACAGGACAAGGGGGGAGCATTTTAAACTGACAGTGGGTAGATTTAAATTAGGCATCGGGAAGAAATCCTTCCCTGTGGAGGTGGGGAGGCTGTGGCATGAGGCTGCCCAGAGAATCTGCGGCTGTCCCTGGATCCCTGGCAGTGTCCAAGGCCAGGCTGGAGAAATCTGGGATAGTGGGAGGTGTCCCTGCCCATGGCAGGGGGTGGAATAGAGGATCTTTAAGGTCCCTTCCAGCCCAGGGCATTCTGTGATTCTGTAGTTCTATCTCCATTAATTTGCCAGTAGGTCATTTAAACTCAGGAAACTGAACAAAAAATTCCCCAGGAACTGGGCAACCCACAGCTAGAGCCACGGGAACAACAACTTTGTAATTGAAACAGTACATGAAATTAACAGAGTGATCTTACTTGTTGCATCGCTACTACTCTGAAATTGATGTTAAGTGATATGAAATACACAAAGTCTTGTAAAAAAATCACTCAGTGTTTGAGGAAAAGAAGAAGATTATAAATACAAACATCCTACAACTCATTGCCACCACACCGTCTTCAGTGGGCTGTTGATTTCAGGTGGTGTGAGGGCATCGCCAGCTTTATCTCTTTCAAATAGTGAACGAAGTAAAGCCAAATGATTTGCCAGTCTGAGTAGTTAAATGCATTTTGCAAAATAGGTGTTAGCACTCATGAAGTTGATTTTAAAGACATTTTACTTCGTAGCTACAATGATACCAACCCTTCATTAAATTCCTTATTCCCACGTTACTTGTAATTGCCTTTATGTTTCCTGTGCATTGTGTGCTCTCTGTAATGGATATTTATTTGCTCTCATTGTTTATTTATTCCAGCAGGAGTTATGGTATTTTGGGCTTTTTGTTCACACAGCCCCATTCCATCCTTTGTTTTTAATTTTCATTTTACCACCTTGCTGTAACCACATCCCTTGGGCTGAGGAGGCACTGCTTTAGCCACTTCCCTTGGGATACTCTTGGTGAGATGCTAAATAAAACAGGAACAACAGCATCTGGTACCTTTTTAAGCCTTTCCAGAATTTTCCTAATTCCTGTATCAATCCAAGATGTTAGACCTATCAGAAATTCATCTTCTGAAAGAGAAGGACATGATCGTTGAATATTGAGTGGCTGAGGCATCGCCAAGGATTTAAAAATGCTATTTTTTAACTTTCTCTGGAATTATGAGCCATTACTTGATGTTGTAGCTGTCATTACTTGATGTTGTAGCTGTCTTGGGATGTGCAAAAATCCACAGTGAGTGCTACAAACCTTTGCTGCTGAGTTACTTGAGGTTTTTCAGAAGGTTTTGTAGAAAGTTGGTGGAAGATTTTGCAGGGGGGTTTGCGGAAGGTTTTGTGGAAAGCTTGTGGAAGTTTTTGCAGAGGATTTTTAGAAGGTTTTGTAGAAAGTTTGCGGGAGGTTTTTTGTGGAAGATTTTGTAGGAAGTTTGTGAAAGGTTTTGTAGAAAGTTTGAGGAAGGTTTTGTGAAAGGTTTTGTTGGAGGTTTGTGGAAGGTGTTGTTGAAGGTGGGTCCAGCATGGAAATCACCTCAGAACAGCCCAGTATGTCACCCTTGGGAAGTATGGCTTGGTCCCTTGAACTAACTTTGAGGAAGAGCTCTCAGAAAGGGGCTTACATTTTAATGACAATTTTTTTAGGTTCAAAAGATTTTCCGTTCCCGCAATTGTGACAAGTGACCCCAAGCAGTTACCGCTTGGAGGAAATTTTCCAGCATGAAACCCGCATTTTCCCATTTTCTCTTAGTGCAGGTGAAGCACACCCCGCAGACAGCGGGTGCCGATCCTGCAGCAGTGTTTTTAAAAGCTTTTTGCCGTCATTTCTGAGCGGGGCAGGTGCGGGAGGCGCAGGGCCCGGCGCCCCCTCAACGCCGCCGCCATTTCCGCGGGACGGCGCCACCGCGCGGCCGCCGCCGGGAAGTGGCGGGCGGGAAATAAATTTGAAAAAATAATAATTCAACAAAAACCTCCTCTGGCACAACCTGAGGCTGTTCCCCATTGTCCTGTCGATTATTCCCTGGGAGCAAAGCCCGATCTGGCTGCACGTCCTGTCAGGAATTGTGCAGAGCCAGAAGGGCCCCCTGAGCCTCCTTTTCTCCAGGCTGAGCCCGTTCCCAGCTCCCTCAGCCCTCTGGGGCTCCAGATCCTTTTCCAGCTCTGTTGTCCCGGCTGGAAAAGATGTTCCTTTGGATGTGGTGCTCACAAACAAGCCAGAACTGGTGGAAAATGCAAAGATCAAGGGCTGCAGTGACCATGGGACAATGGAGCTGAAGATACAGGGCGCAGTGAGCAAAATAAATGGAATTATCCCGGACTTTGGAATAGCAGAATTGGGGATGCTAGAGGAAAATCCTGTGGGAAACACCAAAGGCAGCCAGGGTCGTTGGGTGATCCTCCAGCATGATCTTCCCTGAGCACACAGCTCAGCCCAAAGTGCAGAAATCAAACGGCAGAAGGGTGGAGTGGAGCAACACAGAGCTCCTGACTGAGGAAAATGACAAAAAAAGGAGAAACATACTGAAGGTGGAAGCAGGAGCAGACAACTTGGGAGGAACGTAAATATTTAAAACATTACAAACTCCATTCCTACATCCATGGGCAATGTTCAGCTGGATTTGGTCTTCAAGAAAGGCAAGAAGGAAGATCCAGAGAGCTACAGGCTGGTCAACCTCAAACCTTCCCTTTCCTCTTTGGGAAGGCTGTGGATCAAATCCTTTGAGAAGCTATTTTTAAACACACGAAAGACATGAAGGTCATGTGGAGAAGTGAACATTGAGTTATCAAGAGCAATCTATGGCTGATGAACCTCATTAATTTTTATAATGAGATCACAGCTGCTGGACAAGGGGAGACCAGTGAAGGTTGTGTACCTGATCTGCTTTAGGGATACCTCTCATTGTAGTTTTATCCCCAAGTTTATGAGATTATAAATTATGGGGGAATAATGGGCAGTAAAATGGGTGGAAAATCAGCAGGCTCAGAGTTGTGATCAGCAACAAAGTTTAACCAGCAGCCAGAAATTATTGCTGTCCTTGTAGGAGCAACCCTGAGGACAAAAGTCATGAGTGTCACCAAATAAAAACCAGGAAAATCCTGAGGTTTAAATGCTGATTCTTTTAATGTGGTCATCAATATCTTCCCTCTTGTGGGTAAAATTAGATACCACTATTTCATTAATTATTTGGATGATTATTAGTTGGGGAATGTATGGAATAAAAATCCAGTCCTTAATGCAAAATTTGAACAGATATTCAGAGTTACCAAATGACTCCATAAGCACCTGTGAACTAAAATCCTGTATCTCAAGAAATGTGTTTTAAAACAGCTTCACAGAAGCTACAGTTTGCTGATCTGGCCTAACAATGATGTTTTTTCTCTTTTTTTTTTCAAAGTACTACATTGAGGAGACAGTTATTGAGGAGGGTGAGCCACACGAGGTAAAGGTCCCTGTCATGCTGCATGTAGCACATAAATGCATGTCATTAACATGAAACACTAAATTAGCAGCCTTTTGTATTCTGAGGTTTAATTTTCCATGTTAAACACACAAATAGCAGCGAACAATTGCTGCTTAATAATTTATTTTTGCTTCAAGTCCCTGCTGTGTGACGATCTAAGATCAGTTTACATGTATCAGTTCTGTTCCCTTCACCTTGTGTAATTTCACTGAAAAATTACAGTTTTGCAGATTTTTCATTGTGTCACTGGTAACAAATATTTGGGTCACCAAGGAGTGATTGCCATAATTTGAAATTCTACCACTGAAACAGCTATAACCCAACTCTCTGCTGTGTTATCATGAAATATTCTTTATGCATGGGCTTATGCAGAAGTTATTAATTCTTGGTGCATTTTCAGCTCTGTCTCATTGATGCAAATAGCTCTCAGAACTCTGACCTTCATGAATTCCTTTATAAAGACAATTTTTTATAAAGCTAATTGATACAAAAGAAAACCTGACACTTATTTGGGTGGTTTTGGAGCACCTTTTTTAGTTGTGCTATTTATTTTTAGATGCTTTTCATTATAATCCTTATATTAAAATTACTGCTTGCAGCATGACTATGTTGATAAGCAAATGTATAAAGCATTTAAATTGATTGGAAATTAATGCATGTAGAGCAGAGGCAGCTGGAGCCCCACTCCCCCAGACCCTCTGGAGAATAATTCCATGAGTTTGATGCAGGAACCAGCCAGATAATTCAATCCTTATGGGTTTTTTTAGGGTGGGTGATATATAGGGAGCACAATGGTAATCCCAGTAGGAAAAGTGTCTCTGATTTTCTGTCTCCATGTGGATCTGGATGACAGCAGAGCACCCTTTCACCACCTCAGGGGGGTGAAAAACACGCATCCTAATGGACTTTTGCAGCTACAAAACAAGTGATTATTGAAATTTTTTGGCCCCCAGGTGGTCACTGAGACCATTAGCACAGACTGCTCAGTCCCTGAGACCACCACAAGCACCTACACAGCTGAGCACACCCAGCTCAGGGCAGTGAAAACTCCTATCCTAATGAACTTCTACAGATATAAAACAAGTAATTATTGAATGTTTTAATCTCCAGGTGGTCACAGAGATCACTGAGACCATCACCACAGACTACTCAGTCCCTGAGACCACCACCACAACTACCACCTACACAGCTGAGCACACCCAGCCCTCTGGGGAGGATGCAGCTCCTCCCATCAGGAAGAAGACAATCCGGACAAAAGTGGACCCATCCAAGTTTCTGACACCTTACCTGGAACACAGCAATAAAATGAAGGACTTATTCAGTGAGGTAGGTTGTCCCATGTCTCTTATTTCTTGAGGAACACCAGCTTTAAAAATATTTTACAGGGGTTGTTTGGTATTTATATTGGAAATATCTGGGTTTATCAATACTAAGCTCATGGGGAGAATATAATAAATTAGAGGTGATCCAAGTTAGAGATGGATTTTTTTTCCTGTTGTGTCAGATGGAAAAAACTCAGTTGGCTAAAGTAATAGTTGTTTAATTTTAGTTTATATCTTTGAATAATCTGTCCAAAATTCCTGTCCTAACCAGACAAATATGGCAATAATTGCTAATAAAGTTCTGCCAGATCTCGGGGATATGTCTTAATTATTTTTGTCATTGTTTTCTTCCAGAACAAGTACAAGGAAAAATTTAGAAAAGAAAAAGGAAAGCCATATGCTTCCACAGTCGATACCCCAGAAATCCGGAGGATCAAGAAAGTGCAGGACCAGCTCAGTGAGGTGGGTAACAAGTGCATTTCTAGGTTCAGCCAGGTTCTGGGTGTTTATATGGAGGGTGAAAATGTCATTATTCTGGGGTTTTTAAAAAAATCAGTCAGTTTTGCTGTGGAATCAATGAGGTTTGTTGTGCTCCAGGTTAAATACCGCATGGCTGGGGAAGTTGCCAGAACCATTTGCCACGTGGATGAAAAGGCCATGGATATAGAACACGCAAAGAAAGTGTCACAGCAAGTGAGCAAGGTGAGTGACTGCTGACTTCCCAACACTGCTGGATCCTGAGGTTACTGACAAGAACAAAGTTTGGAGCTCAGGGTGCTAAAGCAATATTTATACAACAGTTTAGAAGCACTGGTAGGATAGCAGAGAAGTTGGTAAGGCAAATATAAATATAATGTTAAATATTTCCAGTTGCTCTCTTCAGATGTTACTGCTCTGAGACTTTGATTAAAAAATCTTTAAAGCAGGTAGTTTATTCACAGAAGTAAATATTTTTTAAATGATAGAGTGACTAACTTGCTGATCTTTCCTTCCAGGTATTATATAAACAGAACTGGGAGGAGAATAAGGACAAGTACCTGCTTCCCCCTGATGCTCCAGAGCTTGTGAATGCAATAAAAAACACAGCAATGTTCAGCAAGGTGAGAAAAGCTACCCACAGACCTAAGCAGCTGAAGTAAATTGAGCTTTCAGAGCCAGAAATAAATTAATAATGAGCATTCTGGCATGTTTCTTGTAGAAACTCTATACTGAAGACTGGGATGCAGACAAAACATTGTTTTATCCCTACAATGACAGTCCAGAGCTCAGAAGGGTGGCACAGGCTCAGAAGACTCTGAGTGATGTGAGTATCAAAGCAGGGATTTGCATGTGGGTACCAAAGGCTGTTGGGTTATGGTGTAACCTGGGATGTGCCACAGACTTTGATTGGATATAAAAGCTTCACAGTGGAACAGAAAATAATAGTGTGTTAAGGAAGCTCTGACAGTAGTGGTACTTCATAGAAAAATATGTATTTGATACTAGAGTACAAAGTAGAGCATATTGGAGTTTAAATCCATTGGTAATTTGATGCTGGGTTAGGAGTGAATGAAATAATTAATTTGTTAAATCAGCAAGGAGAGTAACTCCCCAAATGCAGAAGCTCTCAGGGCTGCCTCCAAGTCCAGTTCACTCTTGTGGGTCTGCAAATGTGCCCAAAACAGTGATAACAAAAGTCAGGGATTGGTGGGACTGGGATTTGCTGATATTTAGATACACAGAACTCTTCAACAGGGGATTGCAGCTCTCACGTGAAGATTTCAGTGAATTTTGCAGAGGTTCAGAAGTTCCCTGGTAATACACAGAATAAAGAATTCCTGCTGCAGGGGCTGTGGGCAGAACTCCTTTTATTAATGTGGTGGAAGCAGAGTTCAATGCTGTGATCCCCAAATAAATATTTGTTTCTTCCATCCTTTCAGATTGTCTACAAAAAGGGGCACGATGAAAGGAAAGCAAAATTCACCTCTCTGCCAGACCCCCCTGATGTGGAACAAGCCAAGAAAGTGACACGACAGCTGAGTGATGTGAGTAGAACCTCTGTCCAAACTCCACTCCTGAAGGGAGAGGCAAAAAGGGACCAAAGGAAAAGGAATAACACACAGGAAGATCAATTTTTGCTGGAGACATTGGCACCAAGTTGTATAATCTAGGAAATAGTGTTTTAACTCCGTTCATAATTTAATTATTTTTTTAAATTCTATTTTATTGTATACTGTAAATTTTCTACATTTTAAGATTAGAGAATTGCAGTATTCACTCATGGTGGAGAAACCACTAAGAAAATTGCACTGAACCTCTTTGTAAGGTAAAATAATTAATTTAGAGAAAAATTCTTTAATCTTGTATTTCCATAGCTTAAAAGCTAAATTGTCATTGAGACAATTTTATAACATGTAAAAAAAAAGGATCAGTACCATAATTCTTTGAAATGAATAGAATAATAAGCTTTGTAGGTATTTCCAAAACTATAAAATATAGAATTAAAAAAAAAAATTGGCACCCGTGTTCTTCAGCAATGTTAAAAAAGTATTGGAGGAGTTTTATTTTTTATGGAAAGTAATGAAACTGTGGCTGAAAATGTCCCTGGAACACCTGAGTCAAAACTCAGGCAGGTGTTTTGTTGTTAGAAAAACTCTTTAAACTTTTAATCCTTGATTTCTGTGAGCTTGAATAAATAATAGAAATCATAAATACCAGGTAATTAAAGGGGTTTGCTTATAACCAGTTCCAGCAGCAATCCCAGTAAATTCTGATTTAATGGGCAGTATCCTGATATTATGTGGCCAGGGAGAAAACAGAACTGAAGGAATATGTTAGAGATGATTTGTTTATCCTTTTTAGGTCAGGGAAGCTACTAAGAGAAATAACACTGAAATGGTTTGGCCAAATCATATTTAAGGTATTTTTGACCATAAGTGCTAAAATAGTTATAAGGCAGGCATCAATTATGAAGCAGCTTTAAAAAGACAGCTTTGGAAAATGAATCTGTCAGGTGAAAATGGAGCTGTGTCTTGGAGATTCAATTTTATTGTTTTGTTTCCTTATAGGTTATTTACCATGAGGACTATAAAAACAAAGTCAAAGGCAAGTGGAGTCAAACTCCGTGCTATGATGTGGCAGTTGCAAAAATGAATGCAGAAAATCTAAGTATGGTGAGTGAATCCTGCAGAAAATCTTCAACAGCTTTATCCCTATTTATGTTCATTTGGAAAATACTGAACCTCCATTTGTGGCATTGCTTATTTCCTAAATAATCACTGTTGTAGGTGTCTAATTTACAATTAAATGTAATTAATGTGTTGTTTTCTGTCTGTCTCTTCCTAACAGAGGAAATACCAGGAAGACTTTGAAAACATGAAAGACCAAATCTACTTCATGCAGACTGAAACTCCAGAATATGAAGCCAACAAACGAGCTTCAGAAAACGTCAGCAAGGTGAGGGAGCTGAGTGCCACCTGCTCAGCTTGGGAGCAGCTCTGAACTCACACAAGTTTGTGCTGAAATTCTTTTGGCAAGACCGTTCATGGTCGTTTGCCACCATAAGCTAAATAACAGGGGCATTTTTCACGGAAAGCTGAAGATTATATCATAGAATAGATTCATATCACAGGATGGTTTGGGTGGGAAGGGACCTTAAAGACCACCCAGTGCCACCCTGCCATGGGCAGGGACACCTTCCCCTGTCCAGGGAGCTCCAAGTCCTGTCCAGCCTGGCCTTGAACATTTCCAGGCATAGGGCAGCCACAGCTGCTCTGGGCAATCACACAGGTTAGTGAGCATTTGGCTTTCAATAGTGATTTTTAAAACCTCATTTTTTATTTTTATTCTTCCAAGTTCAAATACAGAGCAGACTATGAGAAGAAGAAAGCTATTGCAGATTATAATGTGCTCCCTGCTACAGAGAACCCATTGCTGAAGCAATTAAAAACTGCAGGAAATATTCTGAGTGATGTGAGTATTATCAGTGTGCAGCTACATCATTTTCAGTCTTGTACCAGAAACCACACTCACCATTCCTTCACAAGACTTCTCCTTTGTAGTATTTTTTGTTTTGTAGACCCATATTTGTAATGAGATAGCACCAGAACAATTCAGGTAAAGAATGAATTCTCCACAGATGGGTGTAGCAACAGCAGTGGTACATGGATAGTTAATTTGTGGATAGTTCATTTAGATCCTTGTGGATAATGAATCACAAAAGGACAGTTCTTCCCTTATTGTGTTAAGGAATTTCAGCTAATAATAATAATAAATGTGGTGCTTTTATATAATATTTTTATATTATATTCTGGTTATTCACTGTAACAGTATTCTCAATTCCTCTTTTATTTGTATGAAAAGAGATTGAATGTTTCTCAGTGTTAGAAGTCCAAAAATCATTAGACAGACCTTTCTGTCTTCCCTTACAAAACTAAAAAAAGTTATTTTTAAAGACCATTGAGCAAACAGTGCCATCTGTTTCTCAGTCCTGTGGGAAAGCTTTTTTTTGGAACCGTTTCTCTGTTTCACTCTTGTCATTTTTAACATGGTGGGGGTGACTTGCAGTGAAGTCTCCTGCATGATCTGGTATATTTTGATTTGCAGAAATTATACAAAGAAGCCTATGAACAGTCCAGAGGAAACAAGATGAATTACTGTGAGACACCCAAGTTCCAGACTGATGCTGCTCTGAAGAACTTTAGTGATGTAGGTATTTCACTTGGGGCTTATCCTTCAGTACTTACCCCCTTGATTCCTTTTGCCTCTCAACTCATGGTTATTTTGGCAGGTTAAATATAAAGATGCATATCAGAAGAATATTCTGGGGCACTACTTGGGCAGCTTTGAGGACCCACATCAAATCCACTGCATGAAGGTTGAAGCTATGAAAAGTGATGTAAGTGTGGCAATCGTTCTGTTTTCCCCATCACTCTGGCAGTTCAGACAAAGCTCACTTGTGGTTCCTTACTGAGTGTTGCTCTTGTTCCTAGAAAAATTACAAAGCAGATTATGAGGAGGAAAAGACAAAGTGCTACTTCCCTCAGACCATAACTCAAGAGTATGAAGCAATCAAGAAGTTGGAGCAATGTAAAGATGTGAGTACAGGGCAGCAGTTGTTCACCACAGAATAATTAACTGAGTGATCCCTGGTAGCATCAATGATTCTGAGTTTGGCCTCATTGCCATATGTGACTTTAAAGGAAAAATAAAAATCTTCATCTCTATTTTAGGGCCTTTTGTGACATCTAGTGATCAAAACAGATATAGCACAATCCTTCTTATAACAAGAAAACCCATAAAATGAGAGCAGTAGTACCAAAATGAAGAATGAACCTCAAGCATTCACCTGCTTAAATCAATATTTTTTCAAATTAATACTTTAAAAGTACTTAATTTATTAATAATTTTATTTGTTTTAACAATACTTGGAAAATACTTTATATTATATGTGTTTTCTACAAATGTTTTTTAATCTTCTTTCAGTACACCTACAAAAAGCATCCTGATCAAACTAAATTCACTTCAGTGACTGACTCTCCAGTACAGAAACAAGCAGAGATCAACAGCAAACAGCTGAGTGATGTAAGTAAACTTTGGAAACACTCTGACTTTCCCAATTTCTGCCCTGTGCCCACCTTCACTTCATCCTCCACTTTAAGAGCACTCCTGAAATAATTGTGTAGGTGTCTGTATGTATTTACAATTTTATTCCAGCAGAACATCCCCTGGAAATCAGATTTTTTAAAATAGTTTTTCAATTCACAGTCTATAAATTGGGCTGCTAAATATTTTCCTTTATTTTTCTTTGCAGATACTGTATAAATCCAAAGGGGAAGAAATTATTCACAAGTACCACCTCCCTCCTGATGTGCCCCAGTTCATCCAGGCTAGAGTTAATGCCTACAACATCAGTGATGTGAGTACATTTTGAATTTCAACACCATGAAGCTCTCCACTGATGGTATCAGTTTTATTGCCTTTGTGATGTTAAATTTTTTGGTGGCACTGTCAGCTTTCCAGGAATGAGATAAAAACCAACATCTCCCTTAATAGCCTTGGAATTTTAATAGGCTGGCTGGACTGATTAAAAAAATCAGCCAGGCTGCTTTCTCTAGTTCCTTTGGAGCACAGAGGCTGAATTCGAAGCTAACAGGAAAAAATTTATGAAGGTTCAGTCTAGTGAAAAAGGGTTTTGCATAAGAAAGGCCAAAAAGGCCACTGATAGAGTTGTTCTAAATAAAAAGTGTAAAAATGCTTGTGAAATTCATGATATCTTTGTAGTAGATTTGTTTATTATAATAGAACTGTAGTTTGTGTACAGGTTAACATTTTTTCCTTGAGATTACATGGATAAAACTGGGTATTTTAATTCCTGTAAAAAAATCTTCTATAATAAGAACATGGGCTTAAACTCTTTATTAGAATGGCTATTCCTGACACTGCAAACTCTTCCCTTTTTTTCCTCCAAGGCTAACTACAAAGCAGACTGGAAGAAAACCCTTGCCAAAGGCTATGATCTGAAACCAGATGCCATTCCAATTATTGCTGCTAAAGCTTCTCGGAACATTGCAAGTGATGTAAGTAGGATTTAAATCCAGTAGAACACTTACCCCTCCTGCATTTCATTATTTATTATTATTTACCTGTGCTGGAGACCTGTACTCCTGCTTTAGCAAAAGGTCACAAGCGACTCAAACATCCCTAATTGAATATTGGGATATTGGATTGTTTGGTGAGGCTGTTCTGTAATTTATTATTATCATAGTCTTAATTAAAAGCTGAATGTCCCTGGGAGTTACAAGCCTGCATCAATGACAGTGGTGAGGGAGGGCTTGTAGCTGCAGGTGTGGGTTGAGATATGTACCAGGTGTCAAGACAAGCTGAAAAATCCAATAATCCTCTTCTTTTTTTGACCTAAATAATCCTGTGCTGTCGTAAAGACCATTTATGAGGTTCCAGAATGAACTGCAGCATTAGTACTTTGAAACTTAGTGTTCTAAACCCATCCAAAGTGTGTTTTCCCTTTCCCAAGTGGGTAAAGCTGTTTTTCCTTTGTCTCTAGTACAAGTACAAGGAATCCTACGAGAAAGACAAAGGCAAACAGGTCGGGTTCCGGAGCCTGCAGGATGATCCCAAACTTGTTCACTACATGAACGTGGCCAAAATCCAATCGGATCGGGAATACAAGAAGGATTATGAAGTCACCAAGACCAAATATCACACTCCTCTGGATATGTTCAGCGTGACAGCTGCCAAGAAAGCCCAGGAAGTGGTGACAAACACTGGCTATAAGCAGCCAATTCACAATTACACCCTCCTGCCTGATTCTGTGAACCTGGAGCTCTCCAAAAATGTGATGCAGCTTCAGAGTGATGTATGTCACCAAGAATCAGCTCCATTTTTAGTTCTCATCATGACTTCATGGCATCATTAATGTTTTAATGCTAAAAAATTAATTTCTATAATCCAATATATATTATATTGGATTAACAGTAGGTGGGGATGTAAGTGGCTGGTCTGGAACCATTTATTTTCCAAACATTATCAGAATTATGTGCACCTGTTAAGTTATAGGAAACTTACCTAGCAAGTAACGACTTTTTTTATATCTCTCCATATGTGGCATATTCCCAGCAAATGAGCATGTTTTACTAATTGATGAGTTTTTTGTAGCAAGATTTTAATTGCTGTGATTTTTTCTCTTAAATACTGCCTCTATCAGTATTTATCTATACTTAAATTTTAATTAAATCTAAATTGCCCCTCAAAAGAATGTCCAGGGGAAGTTTTAAGGCTTTACCTGTTTTATGTGTATAGACACTCATTTTTCTTGCCTCACTGTGTTTTTCTTGTTTACTTTTGAATAGAATCTGTACAAATCTGACTTCAATAACTGGCTGAGAGGAGTTGGCTGGGTCCCAATTCAGTCACTGGATGTAGAAAAGGCCAAGAAAGCCACGGAGATTCTCAGTGAGAAGAAATACCGCCAGCATCCCGACCAGCTCAAGTTCTCCATCCCCATGGATGCCATGGAACAAGTGCTGGCAAAGCAAAATGCCAAGACCATGAACAAGGTGGGGAGCTGCTGGATTGACCCAAAGTTTGGGTCTTTGTCTTGCAAAGTTGTGGGGCAAGGTGCATTCCCACTGGAATTATTAAAATTTCCAGTGGGTGGGGCAGTTCCTTGAGTAAGACTGGGCACTGAGACATCATGGTGAGTCTCTGACTGTTCATAATTAAGGGAGTTTTTGTTTTCTGTTTCTAAAGATTAAAGATTTCTTTTCCAGATTTATAATGCTTTGATAATCCTTTTTCTGTAGGACGTATTCACAATAAGTGAACTGCAGAAAACCTGGAATCCTGTCAGTTTTGTACAAGTATCCTGGAAAGTGGTGTTCTTTACACTTGTCTCTAGTTATCCAGGACACAACTGTCTTTATTCCTTGTTTTCCATAGAAAGAATGTCTGTGAAAATAAATTCTGCTTCCCATTAATGCAGGGAAGAACACAGATTGGAAACTTCCAGCTTCAATATTTATTAATTAACATTAATTATATTAAAAATTATCAAAACATACTTTGCAAATTTCTTACAATACCAAAGAAAGGAGGAAGATAACGTTGCTCCTCAGCAGCTCTGTGAAGGTTATTTCTGGTGCCAATAATATTTCTAGGAAATACTATTTATTGCAAATGAGTAGAACAAAAGCAGACTCTTATTTTATGAGTTCAGTGCCTTTTCAGTGCTAACAATTCCTTTGTAATTGCAGAGGCTGTACACAGACAAGTGGAACAAAGAGAAGACCAGCATTCATGTGATGCCAGACACCCCAGAAATCCTGCAGTGCAAAGTGAACCAGATGACCATGAGTGATGTGAGTTGCTGTGCTCACGGTGGGCCTCCAGTGCCTCGCTGTCATTTTAATGCCTTCTTTGAAAATGTTTAACTTCAGAGTTCTGCCTTCATCACACCTGTTCTCTTTCACAACTTAGAAACTTTACAAAGCTGGATGGGAGGAGGACAAGAAGAAGGGTTATGACTTGCAGCCAGATGCGATTCCAATAAAAGCAGCCAAGAGCTCCAGGGATATTGCGAGCGATGTGAGTCTGGTTGTGTGATACCACTCCATGACTTTATTTAAATTAAATTACTAAACCTGAGATCTTGTGATCTGTTTTTTCAGTGATAAAGCAGAGCTTAATACTGCATTTTTTAATTGAGGTTTTTGCTGTTCTTTCTCTTTCCTGCTCTCAGTATAAATACAAACTGGCCTACGAGAAGGCCAAAGGGAAGCACATCGGCTTCCGCAGCCTGGAGGACGACCCCAAGCTGGTGCACTTCATGCAGGTGGCCAAGATGCAATCTGACAGAGAGTACAAAAAGGGTTATGAGAAGGCCAAGACTAACTTCCACACTCCAGTTGACATGGTCAGTGTGGTGGCAGCTAAGAAAGCTCAGGAAGTGGCTACAAATGCAAACTACAAGAACTTAATCCACACCTACAATGTCCTGCCAGATGCTATGAGCATTGAATTGGCCAAAAACATGATGCAGTTACAAAGTGATGTAAGTAAGAAGTTCTTCAGCCTCTGCATTGTGAATACAAAGATGCTTAGTTTATGAAAAAACATCGTAAGATAAATAGTATTATTTTGTTAGTGGAATTAGGCCAGGTGTCTATGAAAATATAGTAAATTATACAAGTTTTTCAACAATTACAGCAGCTTTGTCTTTCCTAGACTCTGAAATATTTCATTAATGAATTTGAGCTTAGAAATAAGCAATTTTATGAATATTTACTCCAGCAGGCTCTTCAGGAGCAATAGTGAGCAATAGTTATGTGCAGACCAAGACAGGAAAAGCTTCACTTTTCCTTAATACATTTTATCTTGTACTTCCAAATTTATAGCTATGTTATGCTTCATACTGGTTTTTATCTACTTTCTGCCTGCAGAATCAATACAAAGCAGAGTATGACGAAACTATGAAGGGTGTTGGGTGGCTCCCACTGGGCTCCCTGGAAGCTGAGAAGAACAAAAAAGCCATGGAAATTTTGAGTGAGAAGAAATATCGCCAGCATCCAGACAAGCTGAAGTACTCTGTTCCTATGGATTCCATGAACATGGTCTTGGCTTTAAATAATGCCAAAATCATGGATGAGGTAAGAAAGTGCTCATCAGAATTCATTTCAGAAGTGGGCAACAATGTACATCTGATTTAATAGTCAATCCTATTGTATGCAGAGCTTTAGAAAACATGATTTTATTTTGTAGCTAATGAATGTGCTTTAAGTGCTAAAATAAAAAGATAAATGTTGCTCTGGTGGTAGTAACACATCATTGTCAAGGCAGTTTGGATGTCAAGTGGAAAATAGTATTTTAAATTGTTTTATTTAATAATAACAACAGATGTTGAGGTCTCTAATTTATTTTAATCCTTCCAGCACAAGTACAAACAAGCCTGGGAAGAAGACAAAAAGAAAATCCACATCACCCCAGATATTCCACAGATTGCTTTAGCAAAAGCAAATGCATTCAATTTAAGTGAAGTGAGTATTGTTTGTAAGGCTGTGACCTTGCTCTTGTTTTTTGATTAGGAATAAGTGAGATGAGAACATGCAAAAGTCTCACCTTGCTAACCTGTAGTAATTTTACAAAACCTATTAATTTTCCTTTTCCCTGCTTCCTTTCCCAAAATTAGATACCCAGAATTGCCAAGAAAAAGCCATGTTTATAGTCAGGTTGTGAAGTGTTCTTTAATGCAGACCATTAAAATATGACAGTTGCTAACAAAATAGAGTAGACGTTGAGTACTATTCATGTTTGTTACTGTATTTATTATTTTATTATTGATTACTTTATTTCCCCATGCACAAAGTTTTGTACAAAGTTCAAAATGTAGGTAGCACCTGTATTTTTGGTAAAAGATGACATTATAGACCGGTTCTGTTAAACACTTGTTAAATCTGCATATGCTAAATAAAGTAGTGCTAGTAATTATGCACATCTGCAATGTGGGCAGAAATAGACATTTTTATCTCTTTTTATTTTTCAAGGTGATGTCCTCATAGATGTAACTTTTCACCAATACTTGTGCATGTGGAAAACATGTAAAGTTTTGCTTTTTTAAAAGATGTCTGTTTTTCTTATTGCAGAAAATGTACAGATCTTCATTTGAAGAAACTAGGAAGAAAGGATATGATCTCAAGGCTGATGCTATTCCTGTCAAAGCTGCCAAAGCTTCCAGGGATATTGCCAGTGATGTAAGTTCTTGGGAGAAAAAATGGGCAAGGACAGCTTTCACTATCCCAGGGTGCTCCAACTGCCCGTGGTCACTTCCAGGAATCCAGGGGCAGCCACAGCTTCTCTGGGTACCCTGTGCCAGGGCCCCCCCACCCTCATAAAGAAGAATTTTTCCTTAATTTCAAATCTAAATGAATCAAAGTCTCTGTTTCTGTTCTCTTCCAGTATAAATACAAATTAGGGTATGAGAAAGACAAGGGGAAACTTGTCGGCTTCCGCAGCCTCCAGGATGATCCCAAACTTGTCCATTGCATGCAAGTGGCCAAGATGCAGTCAGACAGGGAGTACAAGAAGGCCTATGAGGCGAGCAAGACTCATTACCAGACCCCTTCTGATGCCCTCAGCGTGGTGGCAGCCAAGGAGGCCCAGGACCGTGTCACCAACACCAACTACAAGCGCCTGATCCACCAGTACATGCTCCTGCCAGACGCAATGAGTCTGGAGCTGTACAGGAACATGAATCAGATCCAAAGTGATGTAAGTTTTCTTCTTGTGACTTTGTTTTTGCATTGTGGCTGCAGTTTGGAAAGGACAGGGTTATTTTTTATGAGCTGTCTTCTTTTTGTGGCTTTTGTTTTTCCATCACAGCAGCATTTTGGAAATAACTGTTGTATTCTGTGTGAGCTGTTTGTACATCGTCAGCCTTGCTTTTGTGTCCTGTTTGGCAGAATGAGTACAAGCAGGATTACAAGGAGTGGTTCAGGGGGATTGGTTGGAGTCCCATTGGTTCTCTGGATGTGGAGAAATCGAAGAAGGCCACGGAGATTGCGAGCGATCGGAAGTACCGCCAGCACCCCAGCATGTTCCGCTTCACCAAACAGAACGATGCCATGGACCTGGTCCTTGCAAAGCAGAATGCAAACATCATGAACAAAGTGAGTATTTAGGGGAAAAGCCAGGCAGGCATTCACTTCTCTTCCATTCCAATAACCACTCTGTAAATCTCTGTCACGCCTTTATGTGGCAGCGCTCCCCTGGGAAAAACAGCTGTCACAGGCTCCTCTTTTTTCATCTTTTTTTTTCTCAATGAAATAGCATTGCTTAAAGAAATCTTTTCTCATTTTTCTCCAACCTCTATTCATCCCATTCTTTCATAGAAATGACTGGTCCTGAAAATCTTAATAGTTTGGTTTTATTAGAAGCAAGACTGGACAATAATTCAGCTGATTTTGGGTTAGATCATTAATTAGTAAAATAAATCAGAGTCAGCACCTTCGCCTTTTTACTCTTCCATATTCAAATGGAAAGGTGAAAACCCTGTCATTTATATTAACACATCTGATATGACTTTCTGTCCATAGCATGCTTACACTGAAGCCTGGGAGAAGGATAAAACTCAGGTCCATGTGATGCCAGACACACCAGATATTCTCCAGGCCAAACAGAACAAGACAAACTACAGCCGAGTATTTTGACACATCTTATCAACAGTTTAAGTTAATATCTACTGGAGATTTAGAACACAGGCAAGAATTTAATGTGGGTAATATTTTCAGAGTAAAATAAGTACCAGCTTCAGGCTAGCAAACTAACATACTAAATTGCATTATAATGTGTGGAAAATATAAGTCATGCTTTTGAAGTCTGGAAGTACATAGTTCATACTCCATGCTTTGCATAGAATTCAGTCATGTTAAAAATTCCTTACTATAAAATTACAAGCTAATTGTGTATATTTTTAACCTAACCTATGGGAAAAAGTAGATGCAGTGATTCCAGCTTTTCTCTCAGCGTTTGGATAGGAGAAAGTGACAATTGTGCCAGTAGAAAACACTCAGGTTTTGCTTTGCATCATTGCTCAGAGGCAAATCTTTGACTTAAGAATGCCTGTACTTTAAACCTACTGTGCACAAACTGACTTGACTGTCAAATGGCTTCATGAAAACCTTATTAAAATTTTGTTAAGGCAATCAAAAAGTGTTCAGTTATCTCAATGTATGTGTTTCAAATTCTCCAGATATGTTTCAAATCAAGATAAGCTATAGTAGGAAGCTGCTGAATAGTGAAAAACTATTTAGTCCCTCTGCTAAGCTTTGGAAGACCAGCATTTCTTGTTTATCAGTTTCCATTTCTCAGTTTCCATTCTAGCAGCCCTTCTCTCATAACTGAAGCCTGTGAGGTGACCAGAATTTGGATCATTAGTGTGTCTAAATAGCAGGTGACATACATATTACTGGTTTTAATTAATATTGTTTTCAATTTTAGAAACTCTACAAGCTTGGCTGGGAGGAAATGATAAAGAAAGGCTATGACCTCACACCTGAAGCCATGTCAGTGAAAGCTGCCAAAGCTTCAAGGGACATTGCAAGTGATGTAAGCAGCATTTTAACTCAATGTGACGCACACACTCTAAGTTGTTGTTACAACTTAGACTCACAGTAACTTGAGATACACCTCTCTGCTAAGATGTGGCTTGGAGTCAAAACCAACTTTACTGACAAAACTCCTTCCTGAGCTGTTTTTGTCCAGTTTAGCAAGGGTTTCTCTGGCATCTTACCAGGTCCAAAGTTTGGTCCATTCATGGCTAGTCATAAAAAGGGAGGAGTTTTCTGCTCTTTGGGCTGCTTCATTTTCAGAGCAGCAGGAAATTTGGTCCAATTAGCTGAGCCCAGTGCATATCCAGAGAAATCCTCATTCATACAACTCTGAAACAGATGTGGTGACACATGGACTTTTGTTACCATAAATTGGTACAAATACAACTCCTGCATTTGTTTATTTTTATGGATGGAGAATTTATTAATTCTCTTAAAGCTAAGACCATATATAATAAAGAAGATAGTTTATTGATCATTAGGAAATGTTTCCCGTGCATAAGTATCTTTGTATTTCATAATTTTTTGTTATTGGTGATGCATAATAAAGAAGATTATTGATCATTAGGAAATGTTTCCCGTGCATAAGTATCTTTGTATTTCATAATTTTTTGTTATTGGTGATGTTATTCATCAAAATATTTCAGTGTGTCATCATCAGGGAGTTCTGAGTCGGAGGGCACAGGAGACTATTCCTATTGCCACACTCCCTTCCTTTCCAAGGACTCTTTCTTTCCCAGGGAGAGCATTCACTGACACCAAGTCATGCACATTAGTCAAGGGGCTGCTAAAACTTTACGTGAGAGCCCATAACAAGTTGCTTATTTATAGAATCACAAAATGGTTTGGGTTGAAAGGGACAGCAAGGATTATTCAGTTCCACCCTTTCTGTGGGCAGGGCCACACTCCACTATCCCAGATTGCTCCAAGACCCACCCAATCTGGCCTTAGACACTTCCAGGTGTAATTTCTTGAGGAACATTAAGATGAGGGAATACACTGGTGTTTTGTCACTTACATGTTTGTCACTGTGGTCTGAGTGGTGCCACCTTTGCCATTGCAGTTCAAGTACAAAGAAGGATACCGCAAGCAGCAGGGACATCACATCGGGTTCCGCAGCCTGCAGGATGACCCCAAGATGTTGTGGTCCATGCAAGTAGCTAAAATGCAGAGTGAGAGGGAGTACAAGAAAGACTTTGAAAAGTGGAAGACCAAGTTTAATATGCCTGTGGATATGCTGGGCTTCCTTCTGGCCAAGAAGTGTCAGGAGCTGGTCAGTGATGTGGACTACAAACATATACTGCACCGCTGGACTTGTCTGCCAGACCAGGTCGATGTCATCGAGGCAAAGAGGGTCAACGAGCTGCAGAGTGATGTAAGCTCCCTCTGGGTTTAATTCACTTATTCCCATGTGAAATAATTGTTACTGATTGGAAAGCATCTTTGATGGCTCACTTTTGATATCAGTATAGATCATATTGGATCTAAACAGCCAGTTAGACTTTTCGTAGGGTTTAATCAATGAACAGTGAAATAATCTGCTATGGTTTTGATTTTCACCCTCAACAGAACCTGTATAAGTCGGATCTACAGTGGCTCAGAGGCATTGGATGGAGTCCTTTGGGGTCTCTGGAAGCTGAAAAGAACAAGAAAGCTTCTGAAATACTGAGTGACAAGAAGTACAGGCAGCACCCAGACACAATTAAGTTCACAAGTATCCCGGATGCCATGGATGTTGTTTTGGCAAAATCTAATGCCAAAAATAGGAGTGATGTAAGTTGCCTCTAGAGAAAGAGGATTCAATAAATGAATAAAATAATATACATTTTAAAAACAATCTCTGGTTCAGAACATGCACTTAAAATATCCAGATAGCAGGTGTTTATAGTCAGGGCCTCACTGCTTTTTGTGCCTTGTTCATAATATGGAGATCTTGAGCACTGATAATTTATTCAGTATAACTGCAAATAAGACCTCTAGTAAGCAGTATGTAAATATATTGTTTCAATGCTGTTTCCTTGGCATTACATGGATGTAAAGAAGAAAAAAGGTTGTATTTCAGTAAGAAGTCATTGTATTATTTAATTTTGCTATCTTATTTTGTTTACATCCCTAATTCTGCTTAGTATATTTTTCTTTGCTAATTTAGAGAAAATTGAACTGAAATTACTGCTGTGCAGGTGAATCTCGGATCAGACCAGGTTTTTGTTTGTGTCTTTTTCAGATACTCTACAAGGAAGCTTGGAACAAGGACAAGACTAAGATTCACATCATGCCTGATACACCTGAAATTTTGTTGGCTAAATCAAACTTGGTTAACACAAGTGATGTAAGTTTGCATTTGAAACTGGGTATAGAGAACCACAGGGTTGTATTATTCACCTCTACAGAAAGCTCTGGGAATAATTCAGATTAATATATTTGCTAAAACAAAATTTTGATCTTCAATAAAATAATCAGGAAACATTTAAATTGTAATATTAAAATATTTAATATCCAAGGGTACAAAATACCTGTCATTAATAGCAAGGCATGGAGTTTAATTTAATTAAGTAAACTGTGTGAAACCCATGCTTTCTTTTCAATAGTTGGAGGTGGAAAGTTGTAGCACTGAAAAACTCTCTTAGAGACTTTCATCTTCATGAATTCCTTTGAATCCTTCTCTAACAGAAACGTTACAAGGTAGGATATGAAGAGCTGAAGAAGAAAGGCTACGACCTCCCTCCTGATGCCATCCCTCTCCAGACAGCCAAGGCATCCCGAGACATAGCTAGTGAGGTGGGTCTTGCAGAGGGAACATCAGAGTGGGGAACAGAGGGGGCACATAATCTTGGAGAAAAATAGTTTCTATTTAACAGGAGGAGATATGTAAAATTTTAATACCGTGGTGTTGCTGCCCACCTCAAAGCTTGTATAATTCTTAATGGTGCACAGCTAATTAAATTAAATACAATAATATAAAGATGATAGTATTTAGCTATGAAGAATCCCATAGTATCTCCTGGATGTTATAACATATGCTAAAAACTTCGGGCAAAACCAGAAGTGAGTTAACATATGTTAGATTCAAAAAGATTAACTACTGTATCAACAACAGCGAAACTGAAGTGGCAGCTTGGAAAGAAGTGGTAATTGTTGTTTCTATTGTTCTGTTTCTGTGTTCAATTAGTACAAATACAAAACCGCATACAGAAAACAGCTGGGCCACCACATTGGAGCCAGGAACATTGAGGATGACCCCAAGATGATGTGGTCAATGCACGTGGCCAAGATCCAGAGTGACAGGGAGTACAAGAAGGACTTTGAGAAATCCAAGACAAGGTTCAGCAGCCCTGTGGACATGCTGGGAGTGGTGTTGGCCAAGAAATGCCAGGAGCTGGTCAGCGATGCCGATTACCGGCACCCTCTGCACCGCTGGACCTGCCTGCCGGACCAGAACGATGTTGTCCATGCCAAGACAGTGTATGACCTTCAGAGTGATGTGAGTTGTTCTTTAGTGGCTGAGTGACAGCCTTGGGTTGTCTGTCCGGTATTCTGTTCTAGTTTTGAAGGAGGGGTCTGTGTGGCAGGGAAAGGGCAATGGAGTCAAGTTTTTTCTTATGGAGAACCAGCAGCTGGGAAAGACAAACACTGCTTGGGTTGTCTGTCCCATGTTCTTTCTACTGTTGGAGGAGGGGTCTGTATGTCAGGGGAAGGGCAACAGATTGAAATCCTCGTTTTCTGGAGAAACTAGGATTGGCAGGTCCTGGCTGCAGATGAAAATCATATGTAGTGGGTGCAGCCACTGAATGGGTGGCTGGTGGATTGACTCAGTGGAACATGCTCCATTAATTGGTGCTCCCTGTGGTAGGAGATGAGGTTGCTTGGAGTGAGGAGGTTGCTAAGTTGCTTTGTTTCTGTTGCAACCACAAGTCTCTCTTCTGTTCTTTCCTCTGTTGGAAGAGGTCCTTGTGGGGATAATAATTCTTGGCTGATTGTGAGGGACAGAGATTGTGTTGTGGCACTTCTTGACATGGATAGTCAGCGATGGTGTTTTTGTGGGGTCATGCTTCATGGCCACAGAGGAATCCTTTCTTGCCATGAACATTTTATGGGGAGAGTTGTGACTAGGACCTTAAGTACAGTAAGACAGGGGAAGGGCAGAAGAGTGAAATATTTGCTTTGGAGGACCAGCAGTGGCAGTGGCAACCTCTGGGTGCAGTGGTACATGGCACAGAGGGTCTTGGGTGATGTAAAGCGCCTCCCATGCCTCTGCCACTTGCAGAATGTTAAATAGGGAAGGTCTATGCTGGGGATACAGAGAAGATGGAGAGGGAGAGTAGTGAATTCTTTGGCAGGTACTTGTGCTGTTGCAGGAGTGGGGAGCCAGGTCTGGGGCACTGATCTTCATGGGAGTCTCAGTGCTGGTGTCCAGTGGGTTGACACAGGGAATCATGTTCCATTTGGTAGAGAGATGTGGTAGGAGATGAGGTTGCTTGGAGTGAGGAATTTGCTAAGTTGCTTTGTTTCCTTTCCTGCTCTTCCAGAACGTGTACAAGTCTGACCTGCAGTGGCTGAGGGGCATTGGCTGGTCCCCAATTGGATCACTGGATGCTGAGAAGAACAAGAGGGCGAGTGAGATCCTGAGTGACAAGAAGTATCGTCAGCACCCAGACACCCTCAAATTCACCAGCCTTCCTGACTCGATGCCCATGGTGTTGGCAAAGCACAACTCTGAAATCATGAACCAAGTGAGATTTCCTTATGTTTGCTTGCTGAAGGCAATGAGCACCTTCCTTTCTCAGAGTGTCATTCTATGTCCTTCCAAGGCCCAGGTTGTGCAAGGGGAGGAAATCCCTCTAGCCCCAGGGAGTTTTTGTTCCTTGTTTGAGAGAAAACACTCTTTTTTTAGTGGTTGGAGCAGTAATGGGGTGCAATGTGGAAAAGGGTGAAGCATTAGTAAGGTTTGGGATGAGTGACAGCCTTGGGTTGTCTATTCTACTGTTTGAGGCAGTCTGTGTGGCAAGGGAAGGTCAAGGGAATTAAAATCTTTGTCTTCTGCATAACCATGCGTTGGCAAAGGCAAGAAATTGTGCAGCTGAGATAGGTGTGTAGTGCCTTAGGAGATGGTGTAAAAGGCTCCTCCAATGTCTGCTAATTGCTGACTGAGAAATGGGGTAGGTCTTTGCTGACAATATCAAGAAGGTAGAGGGAGGAGATTTGTGGATTGCTTGATAGCATCAGACAGGTTTCTGGGAGCTGAACTTACCCAGAGTCACTTTTCTGGCACAAGCTGGTGGTTTGACCCAATGAAAAATGCTCCACTTTGCATGGTAGGGGATGAGGTTGCTTGGAGTGAGGAATTTGCTAAGTTGCTTTGTTTCCTTTCCTGCTCTTCCAGAACGTGTACAAGTCTGACCTGCAGTGGCTGAGGGGCATTGGCTGGTCCCCAATTGGATCACTGGATGCTGAGAAGAACAAGAGGGCGAGTGAGATCCTGAGTGACAAGAAGTATCGTCAGCACCCAGACACCCTCAAATTCACCAGCCTTCCTGACTCGATGCCCATGGTGTTGGCAAAGCACAACTCCAAAATCATGGATCAAGTGAGATTTCCTTATGTTTGCTTGCTGAAGGCAATGAGCACCTTCCTTTCTCAGAGTGTCATTCTATGTCCTTCCAAGGCCCAGGTTGTGCAAGGGGAGGAAACCCCTCTTGCTTCAGGGATTTGTATTTCTTGTATGAGATTAAATTTTTGTTTTTGTGGTTGGAGCAGTAATGGGGTGCCAATGTGGAAAAGAAAGGGGTGAAGCATTAGTAAGGTTTGAGGAAAGGGCAGGAGTTTCTGGGGTAGTGCAAAGTAACCATGAACAAGGTGAGTCTGGATTTGATCCGGTAACTCATTAACAGTCTCTGCCAAAACTCCTGAGACAGGGCTGGGGTCACAGACCTGTGCCTGTGCTGTGAGATTTCACCACTGTAAGGCTGTAAAAATGTAAGTTCCATTTCTGGTAATCAACGGGAAACTTGTTTCCATCAAGAGCTGATTTAATAATATCTTTGTAGAGAATTACTAAGTTAATTTGTCACAATTATCAATTGTGAATGTCTCCACATACTCTGCTGTGTTTCTCCTGCAGCGTTTGTACACTGAGGCCTGGGATAAAGACAAGACACAAATCCACATCATGCCTGACACGCCTGAAATCACCCTGGCAAGGGAGAACAAGAAAAACTACAGTCTGGTGAGTGTGGGAGCTCTCCAAATGTAACTGCTCTGTGTCATGGCGGGATCAGGAATGTTCTGGGAAACCTTCTAGAGATGGCACTTTCAGTTTCCTAAAGTAACACCCATATTTATCAAAAAAATTTTGACTTCAAAAGCATTGTTTGTATATTTGTAGTAGTGCCTACATGGAACAGTGAGCACTGGTGAGAAGAAATTCCATATATTCCACACAAGTTGTGTGTTTCCACTGAATTTTTGGAGAGTCATTTCTGCCAGTGTGCCTAATGTTGGGAAAGCAAAAATTAATACCAGAAAGGTAATTACTGGCATAATTCTGAAAAGGTGTGATGCCAGTGTTCAACATTATTTTGGGCAAACAAGTTCACGTCAGTAAGCCACAACAGTGGTTTTAAAAAAAAGTTTTACTTCGTTTGTATAGAAGAAAAGTTTAGCTCTAAATTGAAGTCAATGTTACATTACTTAAAGCAGTAAAATAAAAATTAATTAACAAATGTATTTAGCAAAGATCTTCCTTTGATATGAATTTGTATCAGCTACTGATCTGAGATTTTGAGTTAAAGGTAGATAAAACTGGGGGTAATAAATCTAAACACAATTATTAGATCGGCTTCCAAGCAATTTGTTTTGCATAAACTGTACCATATGGAACTTACATGAGTCCTATTGTTTAATTCTTTATCTAGAAACAATACAGACAGGCCATGGAAGATTCAAAGAAGAAAGGCTATGATTTGAGAGCTGATGCCATCCCCATCCAAGCAGCCAAAGCATCCAGACAAATTGCCAGTGATGTAAGAATCTAACTTTCTGTTTCTTTCTATGTTGACATCTCTCCTTTGCAACCTGAAAATTATCAGCTGGGTCCTGTAAAGGCACTGCAGTTAAACTGTGACCTTAAGTAATAGATTTTTGCAAGTAAATTATCACGTATGTTTAAAAAAATAAATGTTAATAATTATAAGAACAATATAATGCTTTCATGATGTCTGTATAGCTCATAACTCTCTATGTGAGGATAAGTATTTACAGAATATGTATCATTATATGAAATAAGGATTAAATGCATTTAGTAAGACCAGGATTATTTCTCACTAATATTAGTAAAGCACATTTCTTCAAAAAGGGAAATGATAAAAAATTTCTGTTTAGGGTTCTAACTTAAACAGCAAAAAACTTTAGTCCTAGTATTATTAGCATGAGAATTTGACTGTTTGGGTTTTTTTTAATGGTAGGTTATAGATAAGTTGGGAAAGGTTATTGTTAGAAATATTTAATATGAGTAACTGACATTTATGGGTGATAGAGAAATGTAATATCTTGGTTTGTGTTTCAGTACAAGTACAAGGAAGGGTAT